CATGTAGAAAATCGAAAAGACTCCACCAAAAAATTATTGGAACTGATACATGAATTCAGCTGTCATAGGATATAAAATCAACATACAGAAATCTGTTGCATTTTTATACACCAGTAATGAAGCAGCAGAAAGAGAAATCAAGGAATCAATCCCATTTACAATTGCACCAAAAACCGTAAGATACCTAGGAATACAGAGGTAAAAAGATCTGCACTCTGAAAATTATAGAACATTTATGAAAGGAATTGAAGAGAACACAAAGAAATGGAAAAAACATTCCATGTTCATGTATTAGAAGAACAAATATTGTTAAAATGTCCTTATTACTCAAAGCAGTCTACACAATTAATGTAATCTCTATAAAAATACCACCAGTAGTTTTCATAGAGCTGGAACAAACAATCCAAAAATTTGGAACCAGAAAAGAGCTGGAATAGCCAAAGCAATCTTGAAAAAGCAAAGTAAAGCTGGAGGCATCACAATTCCAAACTTCAAGTTCTATTACAAAGCTGTCATGATCAAGACAGTATGATACTAGCACAAAAACAGGCACAAGGGTCAATAGAACAGAATAGAAAACTCAGTAATGGACCTACAACTATATGGTCAACTAATCTTCGACAAAGCAGGAAAGAATGGCCAATGGAAAAAAAGCCTCTTCAACAAATGGTGTTGGAGAAACTGGACAATAACATGTAAAAGAATGAAACTGGGCCACTTTCTTATATCGTACACAAAATGAATTCAGAATAGACGAAGCACCTAAATGTGAGACAGGAAACCATCAAAATCCTAGAAGAGAACACATGCAGTAACCTCTCTGACTTCAGTTGTAGCAACTTCTTACTGGAATCATCTCCTGAGGCAAGGGAAACAAAAGCAAAAATAAACGATAGGGACACATCAAAATAAAAGTCTGCACAGTGAAGGAAGCAATCAACAAAACTAAAAGGCAGCCTTTGGAATGGGAGAAGATATTTGTAAGTGACATATGTGATAAAAGGTTTGTATCCAAAATGTATAAAGAGTTAATCAAACATCCCCCAAACAAATAATCCAGTGAAGACATGGGCAGAAGACATGAATAGACACTTTTCCAGAGAAGACATCCAGATGGCTAACAGACAAATGAAAAGATGCTCAATATCGCTCATCATCAGGGGAATACAAATCAAAACCACATTGAGATACCACCTCATACCGGTCAGAGTGGCTAAAATTAACTCAGGAAACAACAGATGTTTGTGAAGATGTGGAGAAAGGGAAACCTCTTGCACTGTTGGTGGAAATGCAGACTGGTACAGCCACTCTGGAAAACAGTATGGAGATTCCTCAAAAAGTTAAACATTGAACTATATTATGATTCAACATCTCATGGGTTACCTATAATGATATTATGATTCTGTACTTCCTTATTCATTTTTTACCCAGAATGTTTCTGTAAAGTGATATTTCTCCATAATTATTTGGTAAATCTGAAGGACAGCTCTTATAAGGAGAGGCAGAATAAATTCTAGATTCCTTTATTTTTTTCATTTAGCTGTTTTAAAAGTAACAAATTGAAAATCTTGTATCTTCCAAAGTTAACTGATGATTTAAAAATATTTTTGTAAGCATGTGGATTTGTATATATTTAAGATTTTTGCTGTTTTTATTTTTGTCAGTGTTCATAATGTTCTGTCTTTTGTAGAAATCTCCTCAGGTTCATTCTTGTGGCCTTTTACATAATTCCATGAGCTTTTGCTTAATAATTTTCTTACTTTGTGTTATGATTAGATGTTCATATCATACATTTTTTTCCCCAGACTTATAATCCACTATATTTCTAGTGGAAATAAGAAACTTGTTTCTTTCAGTAGGAAATGGTATTGAGAAATTATGCTCTGGATACCAGAGATATTCCTTGCTACTGGATTGGTCATTATCTCTAGACCTTTGTAGTGGACAGAGCTAGAAAATAGATTTTTCTTTTTAAAGAAAAAGTAGGAGTTCATATTGATAGTCCTAATTTAAATTCAGGACTATAAAGATTTTACTTTTTTAATCTTATATATGTAAGTCCTTTAAAACAGGCTGAAGGTGAAAACTGTGGCTCTCGATGACACTAACATAATTACTCATTTATTTTATCCCACAGTCTACATAGAATGCTCTCAGAACTAACAGTATTATTACTACAAACATGGAGGATTTCTTTCTCTTCTTTAAGCTATATCTTGGTGGGATGAATAGGTACATTACGTTTTAAAGTCACTTGAAATAATTCTTCTTTGTGTACATTTGCTGCTAACTTGATGTGTATTTAAATACATTTGTTTCATTGCTTTTGATATTTAAGGATTGAATTTATTAAATGTAATCTTGTACTATAACTATGTTAAGTAGTTATGTGGTTCTGAGTCAAATCTCTGAAACAAATGATATTCAGAAAAATTTAATTTCTATCTTGTTCCTTCCTTCCTACCTACCCTATAAGTCACCCTTTTAAAATGTTTTAGTTTGTACTTATCCATCATCCATCCAGCCATCTCTGTCTTTGTTCTTCATCTTAGATAAGCATTAGTAAATTGTATATACTTTTCTCCACCTTGCTGTTTTAACCTTACAGTATACCCTGGAGATCACTCTACAGTGTGTATTCTCAATGGGAGGCTATCACCTTAAGGGGGCAAGAGTTGGTTCTTGAGGGTGAAAGAAAAACTTGGATATTATAATGACTTGTGACCCTCCAGGGGGCCAAGGTATATAAACAGATATACAGTATATATGTGATATTAGTGTGTGGGGGTTGGTGGTGGTGATTAGGAATAAAAAGGTCTAAAAGGACTTCTTGGGGCAATACTGAAAAAAAGAAGACTGAGAAACTGTAGCAGTATATAGTATATTACTTGGTATTCCTCAATTATTTTAAAAGTGTATAGTGTCTATTACGATATAGTCAACTAGCCCTCTGTTTTTCAGCATTTGAGTAGTTTGTATTCCTTTGCAATTACGGACAGTGCTGCAATGAATGTATATGTTCTTTTGTTTTTTTTTTTTTTGTTTTTTTTTTTTTAATTTTTTTTTCAACGTTTTTATTTATTTTTGGGACAGAGAGAGACAGAGCATGAACGGGGGAGGGGCAGAGAGAGAGGGAGACACAGAATCGGAAACAGGCTCCAGGCTCTGAGCCATCAGCCCAGAGCCCGACGCGGGGCTCGAACTCACGGACCGCGAGATCGTGACCTGGCTGAAGTCGGACGCTTAACCGACTGCGCCACCCAGGCGCCCCGTATATGTTCTTTTGTATTTTTAAGAGTGTATCTTTGAGACAGATACTGAGAAGTGAGATTCCCAGGTCAAAGGTTAAATGCCTATGTAATTTGCTAGACATTGCCAAACTTCCTTATGGCAGTGTTTTAGTTTGTACTAGTGAATATGTTCTACGTTAGCTTATTGTGAGACACTGGTGTCATTTATGAGAATCTTACTATCTTCTAATTGGCTCTGAGAAATATAATTTTCATATTACAAAATGCAAATATATACATTATTTCACCATTGGATTTTTTTCAAAATTATCACTACACTGCTTACCATATGTTGTTTAGATGAGAAAAATGGATCTATCTAAAAGGTCACATAGTTTGTTTTATTTATTTAAAATTTTTTTAATGTTTATTTTTGAGAGAGAGAGAAAGAGCACATATGGGGGAGGGGCAGAGAGAGAGGGAGACACAGAATCCGAAGCAGGCTCCAGGCTCTGAGCTGTCAGCACAGAGCCCTACATGGGCTAGAACTCAGGAACCATGAGATGATGACCTGAGCCACAGTTGGATGCTTAACCACCTGAACCACCCAGGCGCCCCAAAGGTCACATAGTTTATACTAGTTTTTAAAAAATGTGCTGTATCTGGTCTTAGTAAAGATAGTTGCTGACATTAGTTTTGCAAGTAAATGGTGAGTATATGTATTTTTAAATGTTTTTTATTCAATAACAAATGTCTAAATTTAAGGTAAATTTTAAATTTAGACATTTAAATATACATATTTTGAAATTATACCAAAAATAGAGCTTAAATTTTTTTATATAATATATAAACAGATTTCTCGTTGGCCCATTTCACTTAATTTTTGAAATACTTTGGCCAACTACATCACCTAGTTTTCTTTAATCCATTGTTTTTATGAAGCTTTTAGTTTGTATAGTAAAGATCTCTTTGTATGTGAAGGTAGTGATCCTTAGTTCCCTGGTGAGCAGACTATATGCATCAATCTTGTCATTTGGTTGCTGCATGCTTTCTTTAGGGAATTGGTTCCAAATCCTGTTTGCAGTATTTGCCTTCACCATCCCCACAACTGCTCATCTGATTAGAGTCCTTCTCACTCTTATCCTATGTAGGATCTATAAATATTAGAGGTAGATTAAAAAGGAACATTATATTTTATGAGAAAAAGTTCCATGGATATACTGTTTCTTAGCAGTTTTGTATTTTCAGTTTTGTGTTCTGACTTTCAGTATAATGACCTGGGGGAGATTGCACAGTAACTCAGACTATTCATAACAGAGATTGAATTGAGTCAGTCTGTCCATGTGATCCATTAGGTATTTATATCTTCCTGACAGGGCTGTAGTAGGCACTTGTATTTGTATTTGTGGAATAAATGAATGGCTGGGCAGCTACTGGCATTGCCATGCAGTAAATGGTTAATTAGGAAAGGACTTAGAATAGCTGAATATTTTGTCTGTGAAAAGCGGACAAAAAAAGCAGTCATGAAATTTCTAGAACTATGTGTCCTACAACACATTTAAGTGTTTGGAGGTTAAACATGTAAAAAGAAAAAGAATATGGGAGATGATGTGAAACTGTTGCAGTTATTTTTGTTAAAGGATTTCATTTTACATTACATTGTTGCACAAAATACTGCTGCTAGAAAAGTTTTGCCTACTAGTTTCCTTGACTGTGGAGCGAATTTGGGTTTTTAAAGAATATACGTCACATTTTCCTCTTCCTTTGTAGGCATTTGGGATCACAACTTTGTGAATTGGAAAAACTGATAGATAAAATGATGATTGCAGAGTTTTCTACTTATTCTCATAGTGACTTAAACAGACCACTGGATGATGACTGTCAAATTTTAGAAGAGGTACGTGTCTTAAACTGTGGATGAAATTGGTGTCATTGCTTAGTGTTAATTCCTAATAGTATTAGTTTAGAACACATTCTTCTCAGATTATAATGAGCAAAAAAAAATTTCAAGCTCAGTCAGACCTCTGTGAAGTCCTTCCCTAACTATGTGATTTTAGCAAGCACCATAATTGTTCATTATCCTATAAAGTTAGAGAATAAATTAACTTTATAGCTTAATTAGAAATTGGATTTAAAATGAGGTCTTATATATATCTTATAAACCAAGCTTAAAATATAGATATAGGATGAATTAACATATATCCATGTGTATGCATGTACTGGAGTATGTTTGTTATAAAAGTGATCATTATTATATAGTAATTTATCAGTCATTAACAGTCACTGAACCCCTGTTATGAACATGTTTTATGCATATGCTTATACATAAGATCCAGGCTTCACTTATCTGCTGACTGTTCAATGCTGATTACCACCAAGAACTAGGAAAGGATCCAGAAGCCCTGATAGCAGCCTAAGTAAAGAGATTTTTGTATGTGTTAGCAGTTAATTCCCCACAAATAGTCCAGGTCATCAGGATTTGAGAAGGATACTTTCTACCTACTTGTTGAAACTATGCTAAAATGTACTCATATTTTTTTTGTCCCCAAGACAGCTTCATTTGATCCACTGTAGTGCATTAGGATTTATCTGTTTTTAAAACTATGACTCCAATAATCTGATGACAAGATAGCTGTAGAAGGGGTTTTTGGGGGCTTCTAGAAAATACCATGTGCAGGATAGAGATCTGAGGATCAAATAATGAAACGCTTGATGTTGAATATTTCTACTTCTGAGTGACATTATTCTATATTTAAATTGTGAAATTCCATACTTTTATTTTAATAGGAAAGACTTGTATCTCTTGTATTTGGACTTTTAAAACAAAGAAAACTTAATTTTTTAGAAATCTATAGTGAAGAAATGATTATTACAGCAAAGAATATCATTAAACAGGTAAATATACATTTTTATTTGATATATTTTGGTCTAGAATCTTTTTTTTTAATTTTTTTAATGTTTATTTTTTGAGAGTGAGAAAGCATGAGTGGGGGAGGGGCAGAGAGCAAAGGAGACAGAATCCGAAGCAGGCTCCACACTGTCAGTGCAGAGCCCTATGTGGGGTTTGAACTCATGAATTGCAAGACCATGAAGTCAAGAGTCAATGCTTAACTGACTGAGCCACCCAGGTGCCCCTAGAATCTTTTTATCAAATTTATTTTTACATGATCTAATAATAATATATATGCAGTATAATAGTAACATTTTCTCATTTATTTAAAAACTTAGAATATAGAAAAATAGAAGAAAAAATAGACCTACTAGCCAAAAGATTATCACTTTAAGAATATTTCTAAGTGTAGGGGGATCTGGGTCGCTCAGTCGGTTGAACATCTGACTCTTGATTTCGGCTCATGTCGTGTGATCCCAGGACAATGAGATCAAGCCCCAGGGTCATGGAATCAAGCCCCACATTGGGATCTGTGCTGAGCGTGGAACATGCTTAAGATTTTCTCTCTCTCCCTCATGCCCCTCCCCTCAGCTGTGTGTGTGTGTTTGTGTGTGTGTGTGTGTGTGTGTGTGTTCTCTCTCTCTCTTAAAAAAAAAAAGTATTTTTAAGTGTAATTCTAAGTGTAAATTGTTACTGATGTTTTTCATTGTTGCTATCATACTGTATATATGATTGTGAATTGTACATATATTTCAGAATCATAACATAAGCATTTTCTCTTATAAGCCTTCAGACACATCATTTTTGATGGTTGTATAAAATCCTATCCACATTTTATTAGTTATGCCTTTCTTCTGTGTTGAATATTTACATTTTTTCAGTTCGGTACTATAGAACACTGTGACACACATATTTGGTGTAAAGTTTTGTTGGGTTTTTCCATAGTTAAGACTATTTTCTTATAGCTGATTTCTAGATGTGGAATTATTGGTCAGAGAGTGAAAAGTATTTTTAAAGCTATTTGATAGAGTTGAATTGCTTTCTAAAAAGATTTTACCAAATACATTCTCACCTGCAGTAGGTAAATGTTTATTTCCTCTTATCCTTATCTTTAAGAAATTATTATTGTAAACTAAAACCTTTTTCAGTCTCATCTTTGTTTTGCTGTTTTACTCTGATAAATATTAAACATTAAACTTCAGTTTTTCTAAATATGAGAAACAATAATTTTAAATATACTTATTAGGCTTAATGATCATCATCAGGTTGAATGTACATTTCTGAGTTTTTAATGTTTAAATAAAACAAGCAAAAAAAGATTAGTAATCATACCACCTTTTTTACTTCTTTTGAATACTAAAACACTATATTTTAAAATTGTTATGACCACTTTCAAAAATTGTTGGCAATAGCTACTAGCACTAAATGTACACATATATTGTAACTCAGCAATTCTACTGCCAGGTATTTATCAGCAGAAATGCATATATAAATTTACCAAAACAGCATAATATTTCATGGCAGCACTATTTGTAATAAAAACTGGAAAAACCCAAATTTTTCTTTTTTTTTTTCTTTGAAAAACCCAAATTCTGTCATCAGTAAAAAAAAAAAAAAAAAAAAAAAAAAAAATGATCGAGTTGTGGTATATTTGTATGAATACTGTACAGCAATGAGAATGAATAAATCACATGGAACAAATGGATGAATATCACATATATAATGTGGAGCCAAATAAACCAGACACAAAGGAGTCACAAAGGAGACACACTTTTGTAATTAATCTATGATATTAGAATTAATCTGTGGTATTAAAAATCAAGATAGTATCTTCTCGGAGAAAGTAGTGACTAGAAGGGAAGCAAGAGAGGTGTTTACTGGCAGTGTTTAATTTCATGATCCGAGTTTTCATTACACAAGTGTACTCCATTTGTAAAAATAGATTTGAACATAATTTGTGTAGTTTTATATATGTATGTGATACTTCTAAACAATTTTATGAAACTGCTGTGTTGTAATTCCCAGGATTCTCCTGAAGCCTAAGCATTTTTTTAACTTAATCTGTTACATATATTGCAAGAAAACATAACCTCCAAAATGAACTTTTTTTTGGAATTTTAATATGGGGCTTATACCTTATTCCTAAGAATTATGGTTCTGGGTGTTGTTCTGTTTGTTTGGTGTGTGGTTTTGAATAGTTTTAAATAGTAAGGGATTTTAGTTAATATAACAGCAAGCATATCCTGGAATAATTATTTAATAGGGTAAGGATATAATGCTACAGTGTTTTATACACCTTGACGTGTGTATAAAAGACACAAGAGACGTCTGGTAAAATGATCGTAGTCATTGAGGTCATTTTTTTTTTTTTTTTCCCGTGGAAGCCATTTTTAATATGTAAATGAACCATGAGGTACTTAGAATTCTAAAGATGTTAATTGAATTTTTTTCTTAAAATTTGCAGTGTGTGATTAATAAAGTTTCACAAATAGAAGAAATTGACACAGATGTTATTGTGAAGTAAGTATAAATATTACGTTGGGAGTTATCAGTTAGGGAAAAGATGACACATTAGAATAATCTGAGGAGGATTTAATTAAGGAATTATTTACTAAGGTATGGGCAGAGTGTAGAAAAATCACAAGTGACAGTGCAGTACCTTTAAGGGACAAGAGATGAGAACAGTAGGATTCAGGAGAAGGCCACTTAGTAGTAGGAAAAAAAAAGGCCTGTAGTAGTTGAAGTGATCTGCAGTGCTGGAGGCAGTCTTCCTGAGACAACCTCTCAGGGAGGGAGGTGGAGCTATCAGTACCTTTCTTCCTTCCAGTGTTTTATAAGGGCTCCTCCTTGGCCACGCCCAGCAGGTCAGCCTCCCAGGGCAAGAGGCTACAACGTAGGTATGGAGGAGAGAAATTGAAGATGGTCCATTTCAGAGGAATCACAGTGTTATGTTTAAATTATTTAGCTATCTGATTAAAACCCAGCTTCTAATTGACTTTGAGGAATTTGAGTACATGATTTTGAATTGCCTCATGCCTGTAATTTTTTGTTTTCGCCCTTTAAATTCCTATTTTTTTTCATTTTGAGATTGGTGATAAATATTTTATAACTGAATTTCTAGTTCATATAGATATCTAAACTCTATTTATTAAGTGGCCCAAAATATGAATAGCAATATGAATCACTGTGAAATTTTTCCAGGCCAAATTCATAGAATAAGGATTGAGGGGTTTTAATTTCTACACTATTACCTAGTGAAAACTCTGTTTCAGAATTAGTTGAAGCAACCGTAACAATGCAGGAATCACTAGTAGTTGGAAAAATTAAGTTACTGGTATTCTGTTAAAAGCTCTATGGACCTGGAGAGTCAGTTATTTTAAATTTTATTCCCTAGGAAATTTTCTCAAATAGAAAAATTCCTGTATTGCAAATATAGAAGTATCTTTTGAGAATAAACTCCTAAGTGCCCAAAGACAAATATTTTTTTCTTTGAATTTTTTTTCTTCTAGGCTTGCAGATCAGATGAGAATGTTGAATTTTCCTCAGTGGTTTGATCTGCTGAAGGACATTTTCTCTAAGTTTACAATTTTCCTACAAAGAGTTAAGGTAAGTTTATGTGATTTTCAGTTTATCCAGAATATCACTAAAATTAAGTCCACTTTCTAGATATATACATATAGAATCAGATTAGAAAAACATAATTTCTTTGTTTTTTGTAATTTTTTTACTGTTTGTTTATTTTGACAGGGGGTGGGGAAGGGGCAGAGAGAGGGAATCCCAAGCAGGCTCCATGCTGTCAGCACACAGCCCAATGCAGAGCTCAGTCTCATGAACTGTGGTATCATGACCTGAGCCAAAATCAAGAATGAGCCATTGAACTGACTGACCACCCAGGCACCCCTGTTTTTGTAATTTCTCTAAAGAGCCTTGGTTTCAAATAAGATTTGAAGTGCTTCAGAGTATTTTGATACTCTATAATTTAGGATAAGTTTTGTATTAAAAAATATAGTGCTTACTTGGCATTAAATATTATAAAATAATATTTCCTCTTATGATTTTGTGATTTTTGAATCTCTCTAGATTATCTATAGGCACAATATATGAAACACTCAAAAATCTGTTCTAAACCACTAATGTTTTCTAGAAATCTTTAATCCTGATATAATGGTATTTTTTAAAAAAATTTTTTGGGGCGCCTGGGTGGCGCAGTCGGTTAAGCGTCTGACTTCAGCCAGGTCACGATCTCGCGGTCCGTGAGTTCGAGCCCCGCGTCGGGCTCTGGGCTGATGGCTCAGAGCTTGGAGCCTGTTTCCGATTCTGTGTCTCCCTCTCTCTCTGCCCCTCCCCCGTTCATGCTCGTCTCTCTCTGTCCCAAAAATAAATAAACGTTGAAAAAAAAAAATTTAAAAAAAAAAAAAAATTTTTTTAATGTTTATTTATTTTTGAGAGAGAGAGAGAGAGAGAGACAGTGTGTGAGCAGGGGAGGGGCAGAGAGAGAGGGAGACACAGAATCTGAAGCAGGCTCCAGGCTCTGAGCTGTCAGCACAGATCCTGACGCAGGGCTTGAACTCACGAACTGTGAGATCATGACCTGAGCCAAAGTCAGGCTTAACCGACTGAGCCACCCAGCCGCCCCAACAGCATTTTTTAACATATAATTCATATTTAAATTGCTCTACTAATGTCCTTTATTTTGCAGGCTTTTATTTTACTTTTTAATCTGAGGTCCGATCAAGGATTATGCATTTACATTTAATTATTCTGTCTCTTCAGTATAATCACTTAATTTTAAACCAGTCAATATAAGGAAAAGAACATATGCCACAGAGCATTTTTCAGAAGAAAAGATGTCACAGACTAATGCATTGTAGTTAGAATCACTAACATGTCACAGCTGTGTTTTAATAAGACAATGCTTAGGAATTACTGAATGTAACAGGTTGTGAAATTTGCTATTCTTTGAATTATCAGATGTCAGTATTGTGTTACATGTGCTAGTTAACATCCCTGGCATCTCCTTAGTATTCTGTTAAATGGCCTGGGGGACTTTGGTACTTAATCTGTGACATGACTTTATCAACATTGGAGTGATGCTAAGTCATGTGTATAACCTTTCTGAGTGGGAAAGGTTTTTAAAAATGTGATTCACTGTACTTTAGGCTCCTACCAAAATGTTGGTCCCACTCATTTGTAGTGATGATAGCAAACCTATAGATGTGGATTGCTCAAATAACTAAGCCACGTTTTCACTTTTTCTCATATTCCCGCCATGACTTCATCACACATACTTCTATTATTGTATGTCTGGATGTATATAACTCTTACACTGCAGATTGTAGAATTGACCAACTTTTTGCCAGTATTCTTTTTTATTTAAGTATAATTAATATACAGTGTTCTGGGGGCGCCTGGGTGGTTCAGTTGGTTAAGCGTCCGACTTTGGCTTAGGTCATGATTGATGTCACAGTTTGTGAGTTCGAGCCCTGCATCAGGCTCTGTGTTGACAGCTCAGAGCCTGGAGCCTGTTTTGGATTCTGTGTCTCCCTCTTTTTCTGCCCTTTCCCCACTAGTGCTCTCTCTCTCTCTCAAAAATAAATGAATATTAAAAAATTAAAATACACTGTTCTATTAGTTTCCAGTGTATAATATAATGATTCAGCAGTTCTATAAATTACTCAGTGCTCATTACAATAAGTGTACTCTTAATCCCCTTCACCTATTTCACCCTTCTTCCCACCTCTCTCCTGTTTGGCAACCACCAGTTGTCTATATGTATGAGTCTGTTTTTTTCTCTTTTTTTCTGTTTGTTTTGTTTTTTATATTCCACATATGAATGAAATCGTATGGTATTTGTCTTTCTCTGACTTACTTCATTTAGCATTATACCCTCTAGATTCTTCCATGTTGTTGCAGATGGCAAGATTTCATTCTTTTTTTATGGTTGAGTAATGTTCCGTTGTATATATATATACCACATCTTTATCCATTCATCTATGGATGAACACTTGGGTTGCTTTCATATCTTTTGCCAGTAATTTTTTTATAGCTATTTCACTTTTAGGTTCTCTATCAGTTAAACTAAGTCAAATCTTTATTTGATATATATACAATATGGGAACAGTGATTTATCATAGTTGTAGTTTCTCATTTTCACATTTAGACCCCTTAAGCTAATACTTCTGTAAAACATCTTTGAAGATGATATATAACGTATAAATATGGTTCTTTTTTCTTTGAAAAAAGTTTGTGATTCTGTAAGGATATAATTTCATTGAAAAATAATGTTAATTACAAGCTGTTCATTTTTAATTGAGAATTTTCAAATAACTGCAAATTGGAAAGAACCCAGATATCTAACAGTAGAGGGAAGGGTAAAGTAAATTATGCCTGGTATATTCATTACCATGGAATATCATGCATCTGAGGATTTTTAATGTTGAAGAAAATGTGTAGGTTATAACATTAAGTGAAGGGACAGTATAGGCCTGTTTATATAGTATGTGATCAGCTATGTTAAAAAGATTTATTATCTCTTCATCTTCATACAATAAAGAGACAGTTTGTCTTTTTGGTGGTTATCTTTTGGCAGTATAATTTAAATTCATTATTAATTTCTTTGTTTTTCCTAAATATTTCTTCAAAGAGAGGTATTACTTTTATAATCAGAAAAGGTTGTTTTGGCTTTTACTAGTGTTTACCACATTATAGGAATAAACTATTTGAAGTTCATAATTTAATTTACCAGTACACAAAGGCTCCAGTTTCTTCATATTCTAACACTTGTTTTTCTTGTTTTGTTTTTTGTTTTTGTTTTTTGATAGTAGCCATTTGAATGGGTGTGAGGTGGTATCTCATTTTGGTTTTGATTTGTATTTTTCTAATGATTAGTGATGTTGAGCATCCTTTCGTATGCTCATTGGCCATTAGTATGTCTTCTTTGGAGAAATACTTTCTTTGCTCATTTTTTAATCAGATTTTTTTGTTGAGTTGTAAGAGTTCTTTATATATTGTGGCTATTTAACCCCTTACTAGATATATGGTAGGCAAATTATGTTTAGTGTAACCTATTTAAGATACTTAGAATATATGCAATGTACTCTCAGGAGATTGCTACTTAAATCAATGAAAATACAGAACTCCATTCTTAAGCTTTAGGGAACCCATTTCTCTTGAGTAGTTCTTTTTCACAAAGTCACCTTTACTGTGATAAAAGATTGGTGTAATTATGACATGCATGACCTTGACACTCATTTATAAGATTTTAAAAAGTACATATGCAAAATTCACTTTTGGGGACTTTAGATACATGTTATTTTAAATCCTTTAAAAATATATCCTGTTTTCTTATAGGCAACGTTAAATATCATTCACAGCGTTGTTCTCTCAGTTCTTGACAAAAACCGAAGGACCAGGGAATTGGAAGAGATTTCACAACAGAAGAATGCTGCAAAAGACAATTCACTGGACACAGAAGTGGCTTATTTAATCCATGAAGGCTTGTTTATAAGTGATGCATTCAATGAGGGTGAATTAACACCTATAGCAATCGACACTACCTCTCAAAGAAATGCATCTCCAAATAGTGAGCCCTGCAGCAGTGATTCGGTATCCGAACCAGAATGTACTACTGATTCTTCATCCAGCAAAGAGCAGACATCATCATCTGCTACTCCAGGAGGTGTGGATATGATGTGAGTATGCTGACTGCTGCCAACTTTATAAGATTTTGAGTAAGACTGATTTTTTCAATTTATTGAAAAACCATATGAACTTTGGTCTTGGAATTTAACAAAAATAAATTAATTTTACAAAACACATATCTTTTTGAAAATGTAATGTAAGGAGGTGAGCATTGGAAGTAATTGAAAATTACAGAATTTTAAGGCTGGAAAGGAACCATTTAATTAAATGCCCTTATTTCAGAGCATTTATTTGACTTATTTAAAGTCACTAGTGGCAGAACTTGTCCTGAAAATCAGGTCAGCATTACCTTGTTTATTTTTCTTTCTTTTCCTATAACGCCTTTGTATTTTGTATATAGTGAAGATCTGTTTGATTTAGTTTTTCAAAGGCATGAATTTCCAAGCGGATCATACCATTTTTTCAAACATGACTTTTTAAAACTTACTTTGAAATAATTTCAGATTTACAGAAGATTTGCCAGAATTGTACGAAAAAGTCATTTGTTGACAGTTTACCACATTGCCTTCTTTCTCCCTTTCTTCCTTTTTCTCTTTCTTGCTCCCTTCTTCTTTGTCTCTCATGATAATATTTTTTTCTGAATCATTTGGCAAAAGGTTGCAGACATGATGTCCCATTATTTCCGTATTCTTAAGTGTATATTTCCTAAAATACAAGAATACTCTCTTAAATAACTACAGTTAACCAATTATAATGAAGAAAACATTGATACATTATTACCTTGCAATCCATACATCCCATTCACAGTTCACCAGTTGTCCCAATAACCTCTTGTGTGGAAAAAACAAAACAAGGCCAATAAAATCTTTCTGACCCAAGAACGTAGTATGGATTTAATTATCGTTAAGAATAATAACTCAGCATGTACTTTTATTTTTACACAAGTCAGCCTATGGCCAAGGAGTTTATGTAGGTTGCAGTTACAGCATAAAGTCAACTGTAATACCTTCCTCCTCACCAAAAAGAAAGCCCTGAACTACATATTAATAAAAATATTTTTTCTCTGTTCAGGCTAACATTTCACATTTACTGGTTAGGGTGCAGTCTAAAACTTACAAGGGGTATACAAATCCTATAGCTCAAACAGCGTAGAATTTTGTTTCTGTCATGTAACCGTTCAGAGATGAGAGGTCCACAGTGGAGACGGCAGCTCTGCTGTCCTCATTTTCCAGCTTTCATCTGTAAAGAGGCTGCTTCAGCTTTTATCATCAAATCCGCATCCTTAGCTGCAGGATGGAAAGGACAAAGGGTGGTACCCTCCTTAATTTTTTGTTTTGTTTTAACTTTTTACTTGGAGTATAATGCACATATAGGCCAATATATCAATTGTACGTGTTCACCTCCATGATTGTAAAGTGAGTACACTGGTGTAATCACCACCCAAATTAAGAAATAGAACATTACCAGCTCTCTGGAAACCTTCCTTGCAACTGTGTTTTCACTCTTTCCCAAGGAAGACCACAAAAACTGTTGGTTTTTCTGGTTTTTAAACTATATAAATGGAACCATAAATGGAATCATGTTCTTTTGTCTCAAATTTCTTTCCCTCAAAATTGTATTTGTGCTATTCTTCTAAGTTGTTGCATGTAGCAGTAATTTTATTTGTGTACAGTATTCCCCTTTCTGACTACACCATTATGTATTCTACTGTAAATGAAATTTGTGTTATTTCCATTTTGATTGTTGTCAACATTCTTCTAGGTGTCTTTTGTATATGTGTATAAGCATAATATATACCTAAGAATGATTGAGGTATATGAATGGTCAGTTTAGCTAATAAGAGTTTCCCATAGTGATTGTACTCTTTTATAGTCCCATCAGCAATGTGAAAGAGTTCCTGTTTTTCTACATCTTCATTCAGTCTTGGGTGTTGTCAGTCTTTTACATGTTAGCCATTCTGGTGGGTATGTTGCAGGTATATTAGTTTTACTTTTTATTTCCCTGATCATTGGTAAGAGATCACTTTTCATATATTCATTGACTATTTGATGTTCTCTTTTGTGAAGCGCCTATTCAAGTTCTTTGCCCACTTCTCTGCTGGGCTGTGTTCATTTCTTACTGATTTATGGGAGTTCTTTATGTAGTCTCAGCACAAGCCTTTGTAAGGTAACTGCAGTGCAGATATGGGCACAAAAGAAGAAATAATTTCCCAGGCAGGAAATGGGAAAAGAAAAATAATGGAAAGAATTAGACAGTTTTGTGGTTTTTTTAAACATTTATTTTAAATTGTGGTGAAAAACACATAACAAAATATACCATCTTAACCATTTCTAAATGCACAGTCCAGTAGTAGTAAGTATATTTATATTGTTGTGCACCCAATCTCCAAGACCTTTTTCATCTTGCAAAACTAAAACTCTATACCCATTTAGCAACAACTCCCCATTTCTTCCTCTACCTGTCCCCTAGAAGCCACCCTTCTACTTTTGGTCTTTGTGAGTTCAACTACTTTAGGTACTTCATATAAGTGGAATTATACAGTATTTGTCCTTTTGTTATTGGCTCAATTCACTTAGTATACTGTCTTCAAAGTTCATCCATGTTCTAGTATGTGTGAGAATTTCCTTCCTTTTTAAGGCCAAATAATATTCCATTGTATGTATACATCACATGTTTTTATCCATTCATCTGTTGGTGTACTTTTGGATTACTTCCATCTTTTGGCTATTGTGAATAGTGCTACTGTGAACGTGGGTATGCAAATCTCTTTGAGATCCTGCTTTTAGTTCTTTTCTGTATGTACCCAAAAGCAGAAATGCTACATCATCTTTATAAAGTTTTTTTTTTTTTTTTTTTCCTGTGAATGTGAAAGAGATCCAATTAAACTTAAAAAATTAAAATTCTTTTTAGGGGCACCTGGGTGGCTCAGTCAGTTAAGCATCTGACTTTTGAATTTGGCTCAGGTCATGATCTCACGGTTGGTGAGTTTGAGCCCTGTGTTGGGCTGTGCTTTGACAGCTTGGAGCCTGCTTGGGATTCTGTTTCTTTTTCTCTCTCTGTCCTTCCCTGCCTACTGTCTGTCTCTCTCTCTCTCTCTCTCTCTCTAAACAGACTTAAAAAAAATTCTTTGTAAAAAGCAACATTACAAATAACTAAATTAAATGATTTTCTTAAAATACCAAACTTCCCATCTTTTTGGATGGTCACCCTACTTAAAGATATGAGAGTTGTTTTTATGTGCTATTTTTTTTAATGTTTATTTACTTTTGAGAGAGAAAGAGACAGAGCGTGAGTGGGGAAGGGGCAGAGAGAGGGAGACACAGAATCCCAAGCAGGCTTCAGGCTCTGACCTGTCAGCACAGAGCCTGACGCGGAGCTCGAACCCACGAACCATGAGATCGTGACCTGAGCCAAAGTCAGACGCTCAACTGACTGAGCCACCCAGGCACCCCTGTTTTTTTTAATCTTTGTGAATTGCTAGCATATTGCCAAGAGTTTCATGTTCTTAATCTTTCTATTACATGGGGGCAAATTTTAAACATCCTTCACAAAATGCAATTTTATTTCAGTAGTAAATTTGAACTGTATTTATTTTTTTTTTTTTAAATTTTTTTTTTTTTTTAACGTTTATTTATTTTTTTGGGACAGAGAGAGACAGAGCATGAACGGGGGAGGGGCAGAGAGAGAGGGAGACACAGAATCAGAAATAGGCTCCAGGCTCTGAGCCATCAGCCCAGAGCCCGACGCGGGGCTCGAACTCATGGACCGCGAGATCGTGACCTGGCTGAAGTCGGACGCTTAACCGACTGCGCCACCCAGGCGCCCCTGAACTGTATTTAAAAAAATTTTTTTTAATGTTTATTTATTTTTGAGAGAGAGAGTGTGAACAGGGAGGAGCAGAGAGAGAAGGAGACACAGAATCTGAGGAAGGATTCAGGCTCTGAGCTGTCAGTACAGAGCCCCACATGGGGCTGAAACCCACAAACTGCGAGATCATGACCTGAACCCAAGTCGGACACTCAACAGACTGAGCCGCCCAGGCGCCTTGTAAATTTGACCTTTAAAATTTAAGCAAACAATTTTGTGGGAGTTGGTATTGAAATAGCATTGGACTATTTATATAAAAGTAAATGTTGGAGTGGAGGAAGCTTAGCAGATTAGAAATGGAATTAGACTGATTCTAGGTTCTAGTCCTTTAACCTGTGACCTTGGGTAGGTCATTTAAACTTTCAAAGATTCAGTGTCCTCATCCTTAAAGTAGTTATTTATCTACCTGTCTTGGGAGTGTGAGAACCGAATGAGTTGCTTTTTCTGAGAGTAAGAATATTAATCCTTTATTTTATTTTTTAATTTTAATTTTATTTTTTATTTATTGTGAGAGAGAGTGAGCATGAGTTGGGGAGGAGCAGAGGGAGACGGGGAGAGAGAACCCTAAGTAGGTTCTGCTGCTGTCAGTGTGGAGCCTAAGGCATGCTTCAGTCTCATGAACCATGAGATCATGACCGGAGTTGAAATCAAGAGTCAAATGTTAACTGACTTAGTCAGCCAGGTGTTCCTCCCTCTATTACTTTAAAGCATCGGTAAATAAATTTAATGATATTATAATTTTGAAGGATAGCAGGCAATAACTTCCCTTAATACCTTAACCCAGTTAGGGTAGTGGTTTGCCTCAAATTAACATACATCAGATTCTCTTTGTAAGACCTTTGAAAATTATTTTAATTCTATTGAAAGGGAGAGAAATGATGCAAAGGCACTTAAACTTGGTTCATAATAGCACTGCATTGAATTGTTGGTATGGAATCAGTGGTCTTTATACATGCCTTAAGAAAAACAAATGTTTAAAAACAGGAAGTCTTCTCAAAACTGGAAAAAATACATTTCGTCTTATACATATTTCTGTTTGTCAGTTCTTTGAGGACAGCAACCTGTTGTGTCCTCTCTAGTACAGTGCTCAGGAAATATTAGTTCAGTTGAACTGAATATTAACTATCATTCATAATTATAAGTAAAAAAAAAAGTGCCTATTTTTCATGAAATAATCTTCCTTCTTCCTCCTTCCAGTGTGTCATTTTAAGCACCCTGTGTACAGCCTGCCAAAGCTACCACCTTGTACCTAACTAGAATTTTTTATTTTTGCTGTAGTTTTTGCAGAATTTTCACTTGGAGTCTGAAATAAGTATGGAACATGCTACAGCAGAGAGAGAAAATTATTTCTATATAAGATTAGGGTAAAATATTTGTATTATCCAAGCTTATTTAAGTAATGATTCACCACACACAAAAAAAGCATTTGATACGTTACAGAATTCTTCCTCAAATGCAAATTTTATAGCTTTTTGTTTTTTATTGATATGCTACCTGTGGAGACAGTGTACTCACAATTTCCCCTGACTTGATCTCTTTTTTATCATTTTCAGGGTCAATGAAGACATGAAATTAACTGATTTAGAGCTAGAAAAACTGGCAAATAATATCCAGGAGTTATTGTATAGTGCCTCAGATATATGCCATGATCGAGCCGTCAAGTTTCTCATGTCAAGAGCAAAGGTTAATTGTTTGATAAAGCTTTAGATATTTTATATATAGTATAATTATTTTGAAGATCTAGAATCATATCCTTGCTTGTGTCCCTATGTTCCCCATAATGCATATTATGTATTTATATATATACACACACACACACACACACACACACACATACATATACATATATACGTATGTATATATATTTTTTTTTTTTGAGAGAGAGAGAGAGAGAGAGAGAGAGTGAGCACAAGCATGAGCAGGGGAGGGACGGAGGGAGAGGGAGAGAGAATCTTAAGCAGGTTCCATACCCAGTGCAGAGCCTGACAGTGGGACTCGATCTCATGACTGTGAGATCATGATCTGAGCCAAAAATCAAGAGTCGGATGGTTAACTGAGCCACCTAGGTGCCCCATCATATTATATTTTAAATACTTAATAAAGTTAATGGTACTGGTATGGCCTGTTAGGGAGATGTTGAAATGTAAAATAATCCAAATGAAAGAAATAGGAAAATCTATTATTCTTTGAAAAAAATTATTAAAAGACTTAATTTTGAAATATGTTACCTTAATTAATTTGACGTTAATATGCTATTTTATATGTATGTATATATATATATATGTATATATACACCCACACACACCATATATGTGTGTATAACTGGCCAATATGTTAATAAAATTAGTTGAATTCCAATATTGTGAAAATTTTATAGTATGACCTGAATTTATTTGAGCTACTGTATTATAAAGGAATCAGAGTAAAATTTGGACATTTTAAGTTTTTAATGTTCAATTTCTGGGACTGAGGTATTGAGAAATTTCATTAAAAATAATGTTAAGATAATACTCATGAATTAATATATAATGTATTATTAAAATAATTAATAGTAACATATCAAACTAAGTTTGTTTTATAGCTTGTTCATATTTGATGTTATTCCTAATTCTCTGTCATGATTTTTGTGTTATCTTTAAAATTTAGGATGGTTTTCTTGAGAAGCTAAATTCCACGGAATTCATAACACTTTCTAGATTAATGGAAACATTCATTTTAGATACTGAACACATCTGTGGAAGAAAAAGCATGTCATTACTTGGAGCACTTCAGAGCCAAGCTAATAAATTTGTAAACAGGTTTCATGAAGAGAGAAAAACTAAGCTGAGGTATCATTACCATGTTCATTCTGCTTTTCAGTTTTTTCCCTTTCCTTTACAAAACATGATTATATTTAATTGATTGGTTAACCAAAACCCCTAAAAAACCTATTTTCCACTAAAGGCAGACTGTGGAATTAAAATCCCATTTCTCAGCTTTCCAAAGTGGAATTAGAATGTTTATTTACTTGTCACAAAGATCCTCAATAGATTGGCTTTTCTTTTCCCACTCAGTGGTGAAGTTAATTATGTTTCATTACTCTTCTTGGATAGGCTAAGAGATATAAAAAGAAATATTTTCTGAAAGTACTCATTATGAATGATTTCAGTTTATTAAGGTATACATTTATTTTAAAAATCTTAGTACTAACAACAGCTAGTGGCCATTACTGTTTAAAAGTCAGTGCCTTGTTTACATGAGATCTACTTGAATTTAACTAAGATACATATAGTGTCTTTATTATTACTAAAAGATATGAGAACAAAAGTCTTACATACACACTCAACTCTTTTCTTTTTAACCAAAGAAGATCGTGTTGAAATATCAGCACAGAGCCTGACACAGGGCTCAATCTCACAAAACGTGAGATCATGACCTGAGCTAAAATCAAGAGTCGGATGCTCATTCGACTGAGTCAACCAAGTGCCTTGTTGAAATATTGTTAAAGTTTATCTTCCTTTTTTCTCCCCCTTTGAATAGCCTCCTCTTAGACAATGAGCGCTGGAAGCAAGCTGATGTTCCTGCAGAATTTCAGGATCTTGTTGATTCTATATCAGATGGAAAGATTGCTTTACCTGAAAAAAAGTCAGGGGGTATGTGTATTCTTTCACATGCTGTCTTCCAGTTTTACACTGTTTATTCATTTTATAGGAATGCTTAACATTTCTTTAATTGACACTGCCTCAATTGACTGGAAAAGTTATGTATGATAATTTGTAATAATAATTTCAGATATTTATTGATTGCTAACCATATGCCAGACCCTGGGCCAGGTGCTTTTACATGTATTATTCTAGTATATCCCCATAACAACCTTTGATGAAGATGCTATTGTTACCTTGTTTAACAGCAAGGAGGCATAAGGCTTCCAGGGGTTAAAGAATTCTGTACAAATGATGAGCTGAGATTTGAAACCTGCCTTATAATAATTTCATAGCTATGTTCTTAACCACTGTACTGTATTGTTTAAAGACACGTATTCATTCACTGAATACTAATAAGCTTCTACTCTGTGTTAGATATTGAGACCGAGATAACAGTTATAATTCTACTTTCAAAGGGCTAAGTCTAGGGGCACCTGGGTGGCTCAGTCTGTTAAGCATCTGATTCTTGATCTCAGCTCAGGTCTTAATCTTGTTGTTGTGAATTAAAGCCCCACATTAGGCTCTGTGCTGGGCCTGAAGCCTACTTAAAAAATAAAAATAAAAGGGCTGAGTCTAATAAAAAAAATGTGGATTAGCAATCACAGTTAATGCAGTAGTGATATGATAGAGAAAACCAAAATGTAAAAAACTGTAGAAAAAGAAAACTATGCAGGAAACTCAGAAGGAAAGGCTAGAGAAGTAGGAAGAAATCCAGAAGAACATAGAAGTAAAAAAATTAGAGTTTCAAGAAGAGAATTTTCATTGGTATCAAATGCCTGTTGGGTTTCATCTAAAAGAAATACAATAGCTGGAAGGTACTTTTGTATGCCAGTTAAAGTAGAGCTGTCCCGTGATAATAATGTAGGTAAACTTAAGTACAACTTATCCTATAACACCATATTTAAAATTGTGAGACTATCAAATATTTTTTTTCTAATTTTAAAAAAAAATTTAAGTAGATTCCATACGCAACATGGGGCTTGAATTTACTACCCTGAGATGAAGATTACATGCTCTACTGACTGAGCCGTCCAGGCTCCCCAGTTGTTGAATATTTTTAATGTTTGTTTATTTTTGAGAGAGGGAGAGACAGCACAAGCAGGGGAGGGGCAGAGAGAGAGGGAGACACAGAATCCAAAGCGGGCTCCAGGCTCTGAGCTGTCAGCACAGAGCCTGATAAGGGACGGCTCGAACCCACAGACCATGACCTGAGCTGAAGTCAGACGCTTAACTGACTGAGCCACTCAGGCACCCCTCAATTGTTGAATATTTTAAATGGAGGAGGCAGATGCATTTTCAAATTTTATGCATTTCATGAAATTTTAATATTTTTACATAGAAATATTTTTAAATTGTGTATTTCACATTTGCACCAAATGTGACTGCACTACAAGAGAAAGACTGAGTAAAATACAGATAGTGACCACTAGTTTGACATGGAGGAGGTCATTTGCAATTTTAGTAATTCAGTAGAGTGACAGAATCAGACTGTAGTTCAGTGCTAAGTAATTTGAAAGGTGAGGACCTGTAAACAAATGTAGCCTCCTTTTTCGACAGGTTTGTTTGTGAAGGGCAAGTGCATGATGAAGTAGCACTAGAAACCTAGGAGAATAATTAGATTATTATTTTAATCCACTCAGGGAGTTGAGAGAAGAGTTTTAAGGTAGGAGAAGCTGAATTATATTTTTGTGCTTAACAGAAAGAGAAAGAATGTTAAAGATAAGAGTGGAAGAGTGGCGCAGAGTGATTGTAAGGCAGGGCCTCTGGAATTAAATCCCGAGTTGAGAAAGGCTATCTCTTCTCACACTGTGACAGGAGAGGAGGGGTTAAGGACATGTGTAAAATAGAGTAGTTCATATAGAGCAGAGAAGAATTGAATGAATTAACTAGATTTCTGTTGCCTAGTGACCATTTTTTAGTAGGTAACAGTGTTGGGTGGCGGTCATAATCTTAATTGATTTTAAGATATTAGCAAAGCAAAAGTATTCAGGTAGCAAAGATTAAAAGAAAAACACCGATTATTCTAAATCACGATTTAAAATTATAAGATTTATCTCTCATTTATTCTTTCAAGCTATATTTGATGACTTACCACTTTGTGAGTTGCTGTGCTAGATGACAATGACGGTTTTTGTCCTGAACAGCTCAAAGTTTTACAATCCATTCTCATGCAAGCATAACAATTTTTTAACTAAAATGATATAGAGTGATTGAATTAACCATGTGTCTTTTTTTTTTACCCCCAAAGTGAACTGTTTATTTTTACTTTCTCTTTGGAGGATACTAACGATAAGAGGTTTCTTTTATAACTCTATTTCTGTCCCAGACTTTTATTTTTTCCTCTGAGTGAGAAAGTACATGCTATTAGAAGTCCATCACCATTTTACTTGTTCTTACCAAGTTAAGGATCCTTGGTTATTATTCATTCATTGACCACCATTCATTAATGAGTTACTAGCTACTTGTCTAGGCATTGGGAAAATGAAAGTTAATGGATAGCAATTAATATTAATTGAATGCTTACCTAAGGCTAGACAGTTTGTTCTCAGCACATTGCGTTCTTATTTATAGGCCCGTGAACTAGATACTGTTAGTATTCCCAGTTAACAAATATGGAAAGTGAGGCGCAAAGAAATTAGGCAACTTGCCTAAGGTTACAGAGCTAGGAAGTGGTAGAGCTGAGTTCCAGATACAGGCAGACTGATTTTAGGGCCCTTTCTTTTCACTACTATGCTCTGCCGTTTTCTCTGTAATGTAGAGAATTGGTTAAGACACAGTCCCTATCTTCAAAAATTTAATCTGGTATACAGATTAGAAATTTGAAATTGTGTCACACTGAATTTCTTTCCTTGAAGGAAATGAGGAAGTAGATGTTTAATGTCAAGTCAAAGGGACTTGAGGCTTGGGGAAGCATAATAATGGGCCCATGATAATCTAAATAATTTGGCTGATTAAGAACAATAATCCAGTCTACTCTACTTTTCACTTCAACATGCTGAGTTTTGTTTTATAACGGTAAGAAATACCACATGCTGAAAATAATTTCTGGACTGAAGTCTTGAAAATTATATCTCTCTATTGAGTATAGGAATTAGTTTATAATCTAAGAATTATAATATATATATATATATTATATATATATAATATATATAATATAGACAACCAGTTGAAATTCTAGTTCTGCCTTTCCAAACTAATATATTATTTTTTTTTACTCACTGATCATCTACCAGAGGGCAGACCTAGGATCGGCAGTTTGTAGTCATGATCTCTGTTGTTAACAAAAACACTGATAGTTTCCATTATCCATGTTTAATGGATACAGACGTTGACACTGAAAGAAGTTAACTAATTGGCACAAGTTCTTGCATCCCGTGATTGGCAGTACTGGAACTCAAATCCATATTTCTCTGATTCCAAACCCAGTATACTTTATTCCGTGCCAAATTGCTTCCTAAGAAGTAGACATTTGTTTTTGAATATAAGATAGTTTCCAGCCCTACCAGCCCTAAATTGGAACTATCTTCTTCATTTTTTTCCTAGTTTAAATTTTTACTTTAATAATTTGTTTAGTCTTGTTCCTATGTCTCTCTTTGTTATATGCTTTACTCTCTAGTTACGGAAGAAAGAAAACCAGCTGAAGTTCTCATTGTAGAGGGACAACAATATGCTGTCGTTGGGTGAGTGACACATTTTTCTTTATTAGTTGAGTCAGTTATTTAAAACATAGGTCTTCTAGTTCCCCCTTGATGTGAATTGGAAATTTTAGATTAATAATTTTATTTATTAGTTTTTTAACATGTTTTTTTTCATTTACTTATTTTGAGACAGAGAATGTTTGCAAGTCGGGGAGGGACAGAGAGGGGGAGAGACAGAGAATCCCAAGCAGGCTCTGCGCTCTCAGCACAGAGCCTCACGTGAGGCTTGAATCTAGAAACTGTGAGATCATGACCTGAGCCAAAATGAAGAGTTAGATCCTCAACCACCTGAGCCACCCACATGCCCCATAGATTAACAATTTTAAATTTTAAAAATAATTTAAAGGATATTTTATGGATTCCTCTCCATTTTCTATATTTTGTAGTATTCTATATCTTAAATTAGGGACTACACTGCTGGCTTTACAAGAAATGGGTTGATAAATTTTTTCGTATAATAAGAAATGTGGAGGTATACAACCCAAGGGTGGAATACTGGCTTTATGGTGTTATTAATATTTCAGGCTCTTTCTGTCTTCTTTTTCTGAAGCTTTGTTAGTGTTATAGCATATAATTGAAGTTGTGCAGGCTTTGGAGTCACATTGTTTAGGTTTGAATCCCAGAAGCTCTCTTAACTCTTTGTGACATTGGGCAGGTTACTCTGTGTGCCTCAGTTCTCTTATCTGTAAATCAAAACGTGAAAATAGTACTAAGAACTATTACAGAATTAAACATATAACTCATATAAGGCATTTGGCATAGTTCTAGCACCTAATAAGTTGATAGTTGTTATCACTTATTTCTGTTATCATTTGTCATTAGGTCTTTTTTTACCAATGACAGTATTTCAAATGCCAGTTAACTAAGGAAAATATAAATTCCAGTTTTGTTTGTCTAGTACTACATGCCATTTTTTAAATGGGTAGTTAAAATAATATCTTAATATTCTTTAATAGCACTTCATAATTTAAGTATTTTCATAGCAACAATCTTTTTAATCTCTACAACCACATTGTGAAATAAACACTTCAGGGATTATTGTTTCCTTTCTACAGTTAAGAGAATTGATCCTCAGAAGTTTAAGTGGTTGATATAAAATGACCCAAATGGAGTCAGGATTAGAGTCAAGGTCTAGCTCCCAAGATCAAGACCAAGATTCTTTTTCCCTTTTGTTTCTTATCACTGTATAAGTCTTTTCTGAAATACACACCCCCTCCAGGAGGAATGATTGATCTTTTCCTTGAGACTCCATGTGCCTCTAAAATAGCACTTTTCTCAGTATATTAAAATTATTTATGTATATATCTCCCTGGTTAGTTTTGAGTTCCTTAAAGATGGTGATGTCTTACCATTTATATTTTACTTTGTACCCAATAAATAATCAAAAAGTGTGTATTGAATTGATGCATTTTCTCAGTCTGTATTATCCAGAAATCTGACACTATACCCTTCGCGAATGAAAGCTTCCCTTTTTTTCCTCCTCTGGAGTTCTTTTCTGCTTCTAGTAGGGCAAAGATTTTTTCAACCTTATAATCTTATCCCTTCAATCTAATTATGATTTCTCTCCTTAATTACCCATTATCTTGTTATTCTTGCTTGATGGCATTGGTCACCTCTGGCTTTCTGGCTCTTTAGGCAAAGAGACCGCTCCCCAAAATTGAACTCCCTGGCTAAAGGGAAAATATTTTATCTTCTGAGAGAAGACTACAAAAGATAAATAGTGAACCCCTGCCCAGTAAAGCAGATACTGGAAATATGCATGGAGAATAATATGGAGAATAAGCTGTTATAAAGGCTAGACTCCTTCTTGAATCACTACTTCCTGGTATCCTTCAGACTTTCATAAAACATTATTTTATATGGATCACTCATTTCTAAGCCTCTCATTGAACTTAGATGTCCTATAATGAATGGCTCTATTTACCTTAACCTCAATCTTATTTAAGCTCCTAGTAGTGTCTCTCTTTAATCTATGACATGCCCAGCTAATGAGCTGGTAACTTTCTCATCTTTGGAAAACCTTTTGTGACTTACTGATAAACTTCTTAGGAGATACCATTGTTCTTAGAAGCCACAGTTTCTCTTTCATCTCACTAAGAAAGTCATGATTAGGTGCCTGTCATTAATTCAGCACTTAGGATTGAGTACCTATTATTATTATGATTATTCAGAAATCCTGGGTAGGACTTTTGTCAGTGTTTCTGAATTGGCCAAGGAATGGGATATCTGCCTTATTGAAGAGACTTAATAGGAATGTGACATAAGAGAGTGATGTGCCAAAGCACAAAACTTAAGGAAGTACTCATTCTCAGTGTCATGCAAGTGCTGGCCCTGCAATTGTGTGACCCTGAAAATTAGTTCCTCCTTAATTTTGCACCCTAGAAATCTCTCTTGCCTCACCTCAATCCCTCTCTGCTGCGCTTATATGTAAAACACATAATTTCAGTTACCAAGATCAGTATTGATTTTTATGTGCTGAATCATTTTAACTCTCTTGTTTTGACTGCGTGTTGGGTCATCTTTCTTTTCTTATAGAACTGTATTGCTGTTGATAAGAATTATCCTTGAATATTGCCAGTGTGTGGATAATATCCCATCTGTTACTACTGACATGCTTACTCGTCTGTCAGATTTATTGAAGGTGTGTATGATTTCACTGTGATGGAAAAATAGTTGGAAGAAGTAATTCATTAGAGTATGACTAATCTTCAAATTCTGAGACATTTCAAGGTTAAGTTTTCTTTAAGACATTAATTTTGTACATTTGATTGTGGTTGAATCACAACATGTTACTGGAAGAAGGCCACCTACTTCCTTCTCACTTCGCATTTAGTGATGCCTCATTATACCCATAGAGTTGTTAATGACATTGGAGACAGGAGATGATTTGTTCGTTAGGTGCTGAACATGACTGAGGCCACTTAGGTCAAAAAACCTGGACTGGTTTCAAATGTGCATGGAAGGAATTCACTGAACTTTACAAAATTCATCTCACTAAGGTTAGAGATTTTTCTTAAATCATTCTTTCAGAACCATTGATGTAAAATGAAAATGTGGTGATAATCTTATTCAGCCATTTCATTTTAACAGATTTTTTTAACTGCTAGCATAAAGAAAAGGCTTCTTTTCAAATGTCTAATCAGTTAATTCTTCCCCCAAATTGAGTTGTCATATTTTAGTCCAGAAAGATTTTGTTACCCTTTTGAAAATAGGACCCTCCGATAAGAATGCAGAAACTGAGCTAGTTTTTTTTTTAATTGAAGTATAATTAACATATAGTGTTATGTTAGTTTCAGTGAAACTGAGCTAGTTTTATGAATGCAGACTAAAGAATTTTTGAACAATTTATTTTTAGAATTTTACTTTTTTCCTACCGGACAATAAATATTATCATTTAGGAACACCCCTCGCCTCTTTTTTGTCATTATGTAAATAGATCCTAGTTGCTCCTACTAGAAAATTCATTTGGTCCTTGAATGAGAGGAAAGAGGAATGTAGTTTTAGAACTGTAAATAAACACATTGCCAGCATATACAGAACAGTTTTTGATAAATTGTCGGGCTTTTTCTTTCTCCTTCCTTTGTTAGTACTTCAATTCAAGAAGTTGCCAGTTAGTTCTTGGAGCTGGTGCACTGCAAGTTGTTGGATTAAAAACAATAACTACAAAAAATTTGGGTATGGATTCTTGTTTTTAATTCACATGTTGAGATTTTACGATGATGTTGCTATACTCATTGTGTTTTTAGTACACCTGATGTTTTTATGACTCTAATTTAAAGACTCTAAAGTTATTTCACTGTTCGATGTATTACCATGATTGAAAAATTGGCTTCTGGGGAAATGTTATGAGGAATTTCCACTCTAACGAGTATAAGTTATTTGGAAGTTGCACCACTATAGAAAATGTTAAGATGTAATGTGTATGAGGTGCTTTGAGGTGAAAGATATCTGAATGTCACAAGAGAATCCGTTTTCCCATTAGCTTCCTCATGTCAGTAATACTAACAACTTGAGGTCATTGGGAAAAGCAGCATGTTTACTACATTATTCAGTACCAAATTATTTAAGTGAAATAATGTTGCTTTCTGCCACTGTGTTCTTCATTTATGAAATAAACAGGGGTCTGTATGAAATTGACATTTTAAAATTTATTTTGATATATAATTAAAGTAAACTAATTCTCTTTTTTGTTTCTCCGTGATGTATCCACTGCCTGGATCTTCAGCTCTATCTTCACGTTGTTTGCAGTTAATTGTGCACTACATTCCTGTGATCCGGGCTCATTTTGAAGCTCGACTACAGCCTAAGCAGTATAGCATGCTTAGGCATTTTGATCATATCACTAAGGTACTTTTCATTGTATTTTCTACTGAAGTTTCGTAAATTTAATTCCTTAATTGGTAAATATTTTTTAGATGTGTTCCAGGGACTTTAATATTCTGTCTCATTACAGGACTACCATGACCACATCGCTGAAATATCAGCTAAGCTTGTAGCGATAATGGATAGCTTATTTGACAAGCTGTTATCCAAGGTAATGATTTATGGAAACTATTAGGCAATGTTTAAAGGCATTGTGCCTTTTCACAGTTGTCTAGCCAATCAAATTCCTCAGGGTTTAGAAAAACTCAGTAAATTGTTCAGATTGCCCAACAGTGGATAGTCATCTCCTAGGGGGTTGGGAGGGGACAGGAGGGAGATTATTTTAAGAATGATAGAAACTCTCTACAGAAGTGATTTTATGTTAGCTACATTGACAAATATGTAGCTTCTTCAAACTAGATTTTAGTCTGAAAGCCTTCCAGAGATAGAATTGGGAGAACAAAGTTCAAAATAGAGAAAAAAGTAAATACGTTATTTGTGGGACAGTATATTCTTTATTTTCCAGACTGAAATGGCAAAGTCTGAGGTGCTGTATTATTTCCCTCATAGATAATCAATTTCAATATCCGTTTCTTGTTTGCTTCCCATTCCTAATAGATCATTAAAAGAAGTATTGGTTTCCAATGAATCCTTTATTACACTGGAGAGTATTTCCAGAAAAATGTTGCTTAATCAGCCCTAGTCACTTTTGCTCTATCCTTCACTGTTTTCTTTTCCTAAGTTCCTTAACACCTGTCTTAGCGACAAAGCAGAAATTTCATAACTTGAAATTTTGAAGGTTTATTTAGTTTATATGTTTTGCCCAAGAGTATGTTTAGGGTAATCATCAAACAAGGCACTTTGGTATGCTTTTCTGCTATTTGCATTCTTCAGGATTCTGAGATGGCAGGAGCAGCAGGCACATGAAAATCATAAAAGTGCAAGATAAAATGGCATCCATTCACAGATACAGACGTACTCGCACCTTTGAAGGTGACAGTGGGGAAAGAGTGCTTGGAAAATAAGATTGCATTTGTTTAATAGTTCTCAAATGCTTTGGTTGTAAGACACCTCTTTACACTCTTAAAAATAATCAACGACCTCAAACAGCTTTTATTTATGCAAATTGTACCAATCAGTAAGTACCATATTAGACGTTAAAACTAAGAAAAATTTAAAACACAAGAATACACAAACACGCATTCCATTGGCCATCAGAATGATGACATTGTTACAACTCCTCTAAAAATCCCTACTCTGCAATCATGAGAGAATGAGAGTGAAAAAGTTAGTAACATTTTAGTATTATCATGAAAATGGATTTTAGTCCACAGTTTCCTAGAAAGAGTATCTGACTCCCAGGCGTCCCCAGACTGCACTTTGAGAATGTCTGAGGTGGCTGATAGATAACCTAGATGTTTTATGCTTTTAAGAAGCTTAAAGAATTTATAGTCATGTGCAAACATACCTGTATTTTGTCCTACCTGTTAAATTAGTTTCTAGTTTTGTATGGAGAAGAAATATTGTTTAGGAATTCTCTGATTTTCTTTATGGTTGCCAAGTAGTAACTAAATTCAAAAGCAGTTCTGTTTCACCAGTTTTGCTTTTTGATACTTGGCGTTCTTATGTCTACCAAAAGTCAATAAATAACAATGTGACTACTCTCAAGAAGTTTACCATCTGTTACCAGAGAGGAGAGGTGGGCAGGGGATGGGTTAATAGGTGATGGGTATTAAGGAGGGCACTTGTGATGAGCCCTGGGTGTTGTATGTAAGTGACGAATCACTAAATTCTACACCTGAAACTAATATTATGCAGTATGTTAACTAAATGGAATTTAAATAAAAACCTGGAGGAAAAATAATTTTTAACAAAAAGTTTACCATCTAACAAGGCAGAGGACTGCAAACACCTAACAATGTTAAATAGTGGAATTAGGAATAAGCTGTGGAATATAATGAAGCAAACCCAAAAAAGTGCCAGTACTCTTAAAACCTTGACTTTATTCTATCATTTTGGTCATACAGAGTTTTGTTTGGTTTTTTGTTTTGTTTGTTTTTACCGAGAACTGGGACTGTGGCTAGACATTTTCCTGTGGCAATTAGTTTTATTCATTTTTTAATTTTTAATTTTTTGATAAAAAATAATTATTTAATGAGCTTTGCAAATATTTATCACCTATATTTAATAGTCATATCTTGCTTTTTTTGCTAAAATAAATGTGAGGCATTATGATACTTCATCCCTACATAGTATGTATTTCTAAAACCAAAGGACCCTTTGTTAAATATTCATGCTACCATATCATACCTAACAAAATTAGCAATAATTCCTTAATATCATCTAATATTTATTCTTATCTAAAATTTATCAGTTGTCTCAAAATGTCTTTTTTCAATAACTTGTTTGAACAGAGGCTTCTCTACATAGTCTACACAGTACATTTAGCTACTATGTTTCCTACGTCTTTCATAAAGTTTAAATATCCTGCTCCCCATTATTTTTAATGTTAAGAATGTGCCTAGACTTTTGCAACTTAGTATTTTCACTACTATCTTTCCTACTAACTACTTCTCCCATTACCTTGACCTGTTACATTCTCTCTGTACTAACATGTCTCTCTGTCCTTCCCTGCTGTATTTGCTTCATGTGTTGCCCAGGAGTTTAGCTCTGTTTTTAATTCATACTGAAATACGAGACAATGTTTGAGTTGAGTTAGCCTCTTAATTTTAGCTTTTTATTTTCTTATCTGAAAATTTTATTTGGAGAAAGAAGGATAACACAGTAATATAGGCTCTTTCTAAGAAGCTAATAAGTAGTGGTACCATTGCTTGGGTAGAATGAATCATTAATATGTAATTGTACTCCTGACTAAACTAATGTCCCAGCCTTCACTTATTCATTCATTCAGGAAGTTAAATTGTGTTAAGTAACCAGGATACATAAGGGTTAGGAAGTCTTCAGCATTGTCCCTCAAATAGTAAAATATCCAATAGGAAAAGTATATTGATAATTTTAACAGGAAATAGAATATGTAAAGTGCCACAAGTAAGGAATCGACTTTGTGCTATTGAAGCTTTTAATGCTTTGGAAGAGATGGTTGCCAGCTGAGGAGGGAGATCTGGGAAAGCTTTAGGGATGTGGCATGCATGTAAGTTTTGCTCGTACAGATAGGCATTGTTAGGGCAAATGAAGTTGAGGTAAAGAGATACTCTGAGGTAACAGCATGTAGGTAAGAATCATAAGGAGGAAGTTTAGTGTCAGGGTTTTGGAGTCAGGTAGACCTAAGTTCAAATTCAATGTTTGTCACATATTTGCCATTGAAGCACCTTGGAAAAATTATTAATTTCCTTGACTTCAGTTTCTGTCTTTAAATTGGGAAAATAATAGAGCCTCAAAAGGTTATAGTGAGGATTAATGAGATAATATACATGGGGTGCTTTTCTTTTATCATGTGTCTGACTATAGCAAGTTTCCAGTAAATGTTGAATGCTACTGCTTTTGCTGTTGTTGTTAATAACAACAAAGTTAAGTTATTCTATTTAGCCAATGAATCAGGGTGAGTGAACTGATTGTTAGGTGAACTGAGATATGTTAGGAAGATAGTGAAGTTTTGACTACCAGTGGAAAGCTAAACAGTTTAAGTCAGGTTTATGGGGATATAACACGTTCAATAAAATTCACCCTTTTTTGCTGCCACTTTGGAGATTTTTTTTTTTTTTTTATTGAAAGACCTAAAAGTGTTAATGGGGAGAGGCACAGAAAGAGACAGAGAGAGAGAGACAGAGAGAGAGAGAGAATCTTAAGCAGGCTCCATGCTCAGCACAGAGCCCAATACAGGGCTCCCTCCCACTACCCTGGGGTCATGACCTGAGCTGAAATCAAGAATAAGACGCTCAACCAACTAAGCCACCCAAGCACCCCTAAAATTCACCCTAAGTATATGATGACTTTAATAATAGAACTACCACAATCAAGATATTGACCAGTTCCATCACTGTTAAACATTGTCTCCAGCAGTCAGTTCTCTTCCCACATCCCAAAACCTTGACACCACTGATCTGATGTTCATCTGTATAGTTTTGCTTTTTCCAAAATGTCCTATAATTGGAATTATACAGAATGTAGCTGTTGTCCCAGGCTCCTTTCATTTAACATAATGCTTTTGAAATTTATAGCATATGTTAGTAGTTTGTTCCTTTTTATTATAGAGTAGTATCAATTGTACGGATGCATCACTTTGTTTTTTCATCCATTTATCAGTGAATAGACCTTTGAGTTGTCTCCAGTCTTTGCCTGTTACAATAATGCTGCTATAAACATTCATGTGCACATCTTTATGTGGGCATGTATTCTATTTCTTTTGTGTAAATACAAAACTTTTGTACATAAATGCAAAACTTTATAATATCTTTACAAAAAACTGCCAAATTGTTTTCTGAAGTGATTGTACCATTTTGTCTTCCTACTTTTGATATATCAGAGTTTGGGGTGCCCTTCATCTTCACCCGCACTTTATATTGTCTGTATGGGTTTTTTTGTTTTTGTTTTGTTTAACTTTTTTAATGTTTATTTTTTGGAGAGTTTTTAAGTATTTTCTCCCAGTCTATCACTTATCTTTTCATTTTCTTGACAGTGTCATACAAAAGCAGTTTTAAATTCTCATGAATTCCAGTTTATCATTTCTTTCTTTTATTGTTCATGCTTGTGTCCTATCCTAAGAAGTTTTTGTTTAACCCAAGTTACATAGATAATTTCCAGTGTTTTCTTATATCTGTGATCCATTTCTAGTTGATTTTTGTATGTAGTGCAAAGTATGAGTCAGTGTTCATTTTTCTGGATAGTTCCAGCACCTTTTGTTAAAGGCTGTCCTTTCTCCATTGGCATCTTTGTTGAAAATCGATTGGCTATTTTTGTGTGGGTCTTTTTTTGAACTGTCTAATCTGTTCCTTTGATCTGTAAGTCCATCTTACACCAATACCACACTGTCTTAACTACTGTAGCGTTACTAGAAGTCTTGGAATCAGGTAATGTAAGTCCTGGGATGTGAAGCCTTCTCAGTGGCCCCACCCCTCCTCCAGTGGTAACCAATTTGGTTTATGATCCTAGGCTTAAAGGTATTTTCTGTTTCTGTTCCTCACACAGTGGCCCTGGGGATGAAAGAATTTGGTG